GCTAATTTGCTTAACGAAACAATCAGTCGCAGCCAACGATTAAATAATTAGCACCACTTCGCCTAAGGCGTTTATTCATAACACTTTTCATGTTTTCATATAAAGACTTTTCCGAAAACCCGCCTTATATGGAAAGTTTGGGTGAACAGAAAAGTGGTAGCAGTAGTAGGCTGAGTGGAAAAGTAGATGGCGGACGTCAGCCAGGCAGACAAACTTGAATAATAAGAGACGCGTCTATCCCAAAACCCCTTCTAGCTGTTGTATGCATCTCAACAAATTTAGTATACTTTTTCTCGAAGGCGGTGAAGGGTATAACAGTCTGATAGTATTGCTATTGTTTTGTTGGGTTCTTAGATGTTTCATGATATTCCGCTTTGGAATTTTCCAGGGGCTTTCCAGCCATATCGACACTGATAAATCAACACTAGTGCTGGCATCTAATTGCTCTAAAAATTATCTGTATTTCAATATACTAAAATTTCCCATCCAGTCTTACTCGTTGAAAGTCTCATTACCTACGATTGGTTCCATTTCCATTCGTATTCTACTAGCAACAATTGCCAAAATCTTAGAATCTTGTATTCTTGTATTCTTGTGTTCTTAATGCACTCTTAACCTATAAGATTAGAACTCGAGATGTGCGTTCTGGTAAAATATTGAAACATTTTTGAATAAGTTTCGGGAAACATTTGAAAATTTCATTTCACTTACTTTACCCAAGAATTGAAAAAATTTACTCTCAAATTTGATTAAAATAAATATTTAATAGAAATATTTTTTAATAGCCAATGTACCCGCTTAGGCGAACTGTTCCCCAACATTTGTTAACTTAGCTATGTTACTTATCTGCAGCGGTATCGTGAAGAGTTCCAAAGTCTTTTGTAAATGTTGGTAGAAAGCAAAGCATTTTTTAATGCTACTGTACGACGAATTCTTGCTAGAGCAGTGCAGTAGCAATATAATTGAATTTTTCATTAGCCGTCGAGTACGAAAGAGTCCAGTTGTTCTAAGTCGAATTTAATTAAATCTAGATTCTGTTTTTAGAAAACATTAGCGTCAAAGTGCTACGAATAATATTTTAATTTTCATTCAAATTCAAAGCAAAAATTGTTTATCTTTCTATAAAAGTTCACGTACTTGCATATACGTATATACATGCATGCATGCATACATGCAAATATATTCATCATGATAGATATGCGTAAACAAGTATTTGTACGTTTTATAGGTTTATGTGCGAGAGGAAACTTTTAGTAAATATTGCATGTTTTTGTTTTTATTTATATATGTGTATATATACACATATATATATATCCATATATGTATATTTATTTATTTACATTTTATTTTTTTCAAAAATTTTGTTCATAGATGTGTTTTGTGCTGCAGTTTAATATAATTTGATTTTAGTTTAATTTTGTTAAAAAACATTTTTCAAGTTGAGTGCTTGAGTTGAATTTAATTTAATTTGGATTTCAATTAAATGCATTTTTTTTTTTTTTCATTTTCCTTCGTTTTATTCCACACAACAGATTAAATATTTAATTAAAAAAAAAAATAAAAAAATAAAAGAGGAAGAGGAAGAAGTTTTCGTCAAAATACTGATTAATTTAATTAATTCATTTATATTTATTCTATGTGTAGCGTTCAATGTCACCGAAAGTTATATATAAATTTAGATTGAAATTCAAATTCCCAAACTGAGCCTGAGTGTGAGTCACTTGGGCTCTATGTTATTTAGTTTATGCATTGAAGACTTTTCTTCGTTTGTTCGCGTTTCTAAAACTCTTACGTTTGCGGATGAACTCAGTCCTTGACATTGATGGTCTGCAATGCGATTTGCCATCTTTGTATATATGTTCTTGATCAGTGCGAAATTCTGAATTGATTAAGCCATGTCTGTCCATCTGTATGGTGTTCGTTGTTCACACTTTCTTGGTCGCACAAAAGAAAATATCGACTTGAAATTTGGTAAAGTTTTTGTATGCAGGGCCAAATTGGTTAGAGTAGATGCCCGCAGTGGAGCATAAACTGAACGCAAGTCCGCTATTTTTCTTAATTAAATTTGTGGATTTTTGCTTTTCACTCAGAACTTATAAAAGTAAGAAGTCTCACGTTTTTCAAATTTACTTTACGAAGCACTCTACCTCGTTACGTGCAAAAATGAAAAAAAGTCGGCCACGCCCACACCAAGTTACAGATTTTATTTTTTCACTAATTTGAGATTTTTTGCTCATTTATCATAAGGCAGACAAGAGAGAATGTTGAAAACTATTTTGCACATTTCTCAAATGAAGATCTGCCTAAAAATGGATTCATTCTAATATGAATGTAGTAGACAGCGCCATCTGGTGGATTAATTTTTTCTTATTAATACCAGCGATATGGGTATCAAATAAAAGAACTTGGAGACTAAAATGCGAAAAGCGTAATGATGGGTATGCGACATTCGTCTCCTCCGAATATAGCTTTCCTACTTGGTATTTTTCCTTTTCTTTTCATCCTCTTTCATTAATCGTTTTGAACATAGTAATGGATAAATGATATTCTTTCTACTCAAAATGCGCTCAAAATAGGATCTTGGATCTGCTCGCATATAAAAAGCTTCAGATCTGCAAAGGTTAAAGTTTCAAATGCCAGTATACTGCCCTACAATTATGTGTTATGTCGAAATAACAAGTCTTTGGATCATTGAAAATTTCTTCTATGCTCACAATGTTATGTTACTCTTGACTATTTAAAGAATCATTTGAGCGCCCTATCACCCGTTAAAAATTAACTCTTGATATGAATCAAAATCTATCTTTTTTATTATAAAGTTTATATAAAATGTTGTCATAGACTTCTGGAGAACAAGTACCAAAGTTACGCTTGTGGAACAATTAAGTTATTCGATATGAATAAATTTTCAGAATAACAAAAGCAAAAAGAAAGGGGAACCATTCGTCGTCTGGATTATTCTTGCTCTTGTTTTCTTTTTTATTTGCCTTCAATATGGCATAAGTGTGTACAAATGTGTGAGCTTTTACTTATCTCGTTTATCTGATTGCAATTACTTTTAGTCATACATTCATACATGCATCCAATTATTATTTTTAAAAGAATGATACAAATATAAACCACATCACAAAAACCACATCATCATGCAACTATTTATACTGAAAAGGCCGGCCTATGAATGAAATTAAAAACTTTTTCTCAAAGTATGTTTTCCTTTTAAAATGGCATAAGTATAAGAATAATATTATTAGTAAACATGTTATCGAAACAATATAATAAATAAATTTATGGGTAAAACATTTAAAGGCAGAGATCATCGCAAAATCAATAAAATAAATGCTATGTATGTTTGTTTATGTGTGAAATTATATTAAATGTTAGAAAATTTAAATATGTATTGTGGATATGGAAATGTTTATATAAATGGATAAATACAAGCGTGATAGGCAGAAAAATGTGCTTCTCCTTTCCCGCACAATTAGCGGATAACAAGCCAACGAGGATATGCTCACTTTGCCAGCAAGCTTGTATCGAACCATTTTTTTTTTTTTTGCCATCTTCGTTTGAAAAAAAGAGTTTCTCGACAATTGGATGATACATCGATGCAAGCAAAGTGTAATCAGAAGGAACTGAGTGGCGCGTGGGTAAGCCGCAATGGCTACAAATTCTCAGTTGAATACCTTCAATGCGCCCAAGAAACGGTTTCCCCGTATGGACAGACAGGTATCTTGTAAAAAAATGATCTTGTTTTCGATTGCTTGATTTTTGTTGTTAGCAACGCATCCTTTACAGTTAGGAATCTTGATCAGTTCATAGCAAACCAAACTGCTGGTCCTATCAAATATGGAGCGTCCCCTTTCTGTCAAATCCTTTCTGTCGCTTATGGATGATTGCTTACAATAATTTTTTTGCGCTAAGGTTTCTCAAAATAAATCCACGTTTCAACAAAGACTATCGGCGAGTACGCGTCACAAAAAATTTGGCACAAATTTCAACATAACGAACACAGCGAAGAAATCCTACGCCAGCACTTTTTTCAATTTGTCAATAAAACGTGTTTACCGCAACAAAATCTCATAGATATCAAATCTTTCTACACTACATACAGCTTTCTGATCTACAAATTTGTTCGAGTTTCCAAAATTTCCTACATTTTATGTGAGAAGAACGCATGGAGAGCATAAAATCACTTGTGATCAGCGTGTATAATGCTATCGATTTACTCATACCATGCCATTCGGATGGCTGTGTGTCCATCTGTTTACATTACGATTACGATCTCTGGACTTTTCCGAGAAGAAGTAACTTATTCTGAAATTTTTACTTATCCACTCAAAAATTACTGTGAAAATGCTTTCATCCCTTTATTCATTCACTCACCTTAAGCTTTAGAAGTTAAAATTTGATCGTAATTTTTTTTTTTTTTTTTGATTTTAATGAAATCTCGTCCTCGGAAAACTAGACTATGTAAAAATGGTTTGATGTTTATTTGAAAACTTTCTGCTCAGTAGTATGCAATCCTGATATCATTTACGATATTTACACTATTCCCAGACCATTTTAAGGCTAATGATGCTATCAAATATCGTAACAAGGAAAATATTAATGCTTTTCCAATTTTAGAATGTTCTCTCAAATTTCAAGTCAACTTTTCCGCATTTATATTCGAGTCAGCAAACTAATCTTTCGATACGCTAAGCGATACAAGTAAAATTTTCAAGGAAAAATTTTTTGAAATCAATTGATTCTTTCAAGTCTCTTGTATGCATTTAATTTGTTATTGTTGACTGCATAAACACAGATCAAACAGATAAAATTTTTGTATAAATTTTTAAAATGAATTTATGTGTTTGTGGTTTCTCTATACCCGTTAGTTACTAATGAGAAAGAAAGAAAGAAAATCATCAGCCGGACAACATATCGATCATATAAAATGTAAAACTTTAACATGCAATAACTACAACCAGCACTTTTGTGTGCATGAAATTTGTATTTTCCAGGACGACCTGAACCTATAGTTACGTGGATGAATGGTACGCAGCAATTAGAATCTGGCAACGGCGTTTCAATGGGACGTCACGTTACCGTCAATCGCCTAGAGGTGCCACACATAACACGTTCAGCTTTGAATAACACCTATCGTTGCCAGGCATCGAATACAAAACTAGTACCACCAGTGGAACGAAGCATACGCATCGATATGTTACGTAAGTACCGTATTTTCCTCTCCATTTTTACACTTTTACTTTTGCACTTTTTTCAATTGTTTATATACATACAAGTTTAGTATTAATTAAAAAGTCTATACGATGGTGATGTCGGTTGGTAAAGTCAATGCCATGTTGTGACACGAAACGAAAAATGTTAAAAAAGAAAATGATGATGATGAAGAAGAAGAGAGGAAAAACAATAATAACAGAAAAAAAAAATAAAAACAAACTCAATTAAAATGATGTGAAAATGTGCGAATGATAAGCGACGTTTTCAATGCTGGTGGGCCACCAGCCACCACCACCACCACTACCAGGTTAATATAACCTTTCAGTATCAGAAAGTGTTGCTTTCTTTCCACCATAATTCTCGCCAAATTGTTTAATTTTTGTTACTAACTGTGTGACATATTGCGTGCATAGCAATACAAACGAGATATATGTGAACACGACATAATGCCAACAAGTTTGTTAATACAAGAGCCTGGCATTTGTAATGACTTTTAAATGCAGGTTGTTATGCAACCAAGATTGCATGCAGATAAGCAAGCTTGCTAGCGCACGAACACAAACACACACACACACATATATGTATATATATATATATATATATATATATATATATAATTGAAAATGCAAACATTAATTTACTACTTTTATATTATCTTTTTATCTTTTCATTCTTATATGTATATATGCATATATATAATCCCGTATGCAGTGAAGCCCACATCAGTGAATTTAACAAATAAGCAGAAAGTCTTCTCATCCGGTATTCAATATAATATGACTTGTATTGTTGATGGTTCAGTACCGGATACGGAAATCAAATGGACTCAAAACAATCGACCATTTAAACGTGGCGCTGTAAGTTTCATTAAATTCGCATTACGTCATCTGGTTTGATACATTACTTAATTCGAATGCATATTGATTTTAATTTAAAAAAAAAAAAAAAAAAAAAAAAAAAAAAGCTTACCGTCATTCAAACTAATGGTAAAGTGAAATCAACTTTAACCTTTAATCCTCAACCCGAAGATGATGGGACTCTATTAAAATGTGAAGGATCAAATCCACGTTTACAAAATTCCGCTCTCGAGGACTCCTTAATGTTAAATGTTATGTGTAAGTAATGCAAAAAAAAAAAACAAATATTTTTTTTTGTTTTCTTTAGTTCAAAGTGTATGTGTTTTTTTTTTTTTTTTTTTTTTTTTGTCTTTTTAATAAATCGGCTTTATCAGATATAAAAAAGGAATTCTTTTTCTGCCTTAAATAATAGGACGATCAAGCACGGAGACAGAAGCTCGAAATTTATTTTCAATGAGCTTGAGCTACCGCGCGGCCCAAGTTTTCAGATTTTTTTTTTAATGAAAATTCACTTAAGCACTTATAAGCGATAAATATCTTCATGAGGTCTAAAAAATCAAAGTTTAGCTTAAAATATGAAAAAAAAATATCACTGTTTTTTCAAAGTTCTCACAGTTTCTAATTTCTTATGAGCATGTATGTGTGGTTAGATTACAATTATTTCTTAAACTTGAATTCAAAATTGATCAAGGAATGTTTGTGCCGGACTGTAACATCTTGTCTTGGCATGTAAGCATAAAGCCGATGATGTTCTGCTGTTAACTTTTGGAGAGAGTTGGAAGAATTTGTGCTTCAGAAACTTGTGAGATGTCATGTCTAATGCCCCGCTGACGTAAATCATGAATTGTTCCCTTAATCATTTGAAGCTCTTCGTCATCTGTACCTTGTATTCAAAGGAACTTTAACTAATGAAAATTTTCAATTTCATATTTCGATGAAAGTCCGATGACTCGATATATATATACATTCGAATATGATTTGATAATAAAATGTTTATTTACAGAAAGTTATTGCACAAAAAAATGCAATTCATCCGTGAACCTTTCTATTGGACGGTAGTAATAATATAAATACTTTCATATATTTATATAATAATATCACCCACGCCCAATAGCATCCACCCGCTTACACCTAACACGTCAAAGTAAACTTGTAAGACCTTGTTTTACTGCTGCTGGCTGACATAAATTTCGGCAACTTTTTGTTTTTCCTTTTTTTTTATGTTTTTTTCTTTTTTTTTTTTTGCCTTCGCATCCACCTACTCTCTGTACTCTGTATAGGTATATAGTTAGATAGGACTTGTAAATGTGTGTAGTATTTGCGTGTGTTTGAAACATGCATTCGTATTCTTTTTTGTTTGTTGTTGTTGTTCCATTCATATGTGTGTTATGTTCTGGTTTTTTTTTGGCGGTGGAAAATTGTGTATGGAAAAGTTTTGCTTAATTTGCATTTTATTGTATTTTGTATATATTGTTGTTGTTGATGTTTTCCTCGGTTTTTCTATTTTTTTTCTTTTTGCTGTTACTGCTGCTATTTTGTTATTATTTCCCCAATGGCAATACATGAATTATACTTTTTCGTTTAGAAAAAGTTGTCTTTTTTTTTTTGTTTTTTTGGTTATTTTTTATAAACAAAACAATATTTTTCTTTTTTATTTATTTTTCTTTTTTTTTTGTCAAGCTCTCCCCGAACTTTTTTGAAAGTTATCAAAAAAAAAAAAATACAAATTTTGCCCATTTTTGTTTTTTTTTTTTTTATTTATTTTTATTCCCTTTAAACAATTGTTGTCATTATATTTGTCAACACACAACAAACATGCAAAGAAATTGTACCAGTGCATATGAAAAAAAAGAAAAGATAAATGAATTCTAAAATATACAAAATTTTCCAAATAAACTGTTAGAAACATAAATATAAAAAACTAACAAAAAAAAAAAAAAAAAAAAAAAATATATACAACATTGCCGTCAAAAACATTTTCGCTTAGATATGAAAAAATAAACTGTCAGCCGTATACTGGCCCGGCCGTCAAAGTGAAAAGAGCAAATATGTTTGAAAAGTTAAAACGTTTCCACCGCTAGAAGTGCACTTGAGCGTGCATATTTATTTATGAATTCATTTATGCATAAACCAAGTTGGATCAAATTTTTATTACACTGAGAATATTAGAACGATTACAATTATAACTCTTGTTAAATTGCTCCATAAACCTAAAGCGAACGAGAATTTTAATTTTTAATTGCTGGCATAATACAGATGTCTAATAAAACCATAATTAAAATTCTTTATGCAATTCGTAATTAATAAGAAGTACGGACGGACGGACTACACGATGTTGTTGCGATAATAAATATCCAAATAAATAGCTGCCTTCACTTTATCGTTTAATTATCATCCCATCAATGGTCTGAATTTTAATATGACAATTAATACATACATGTACACATTATAGTCGTATTAGAAGTATTTTTCACAAATCTATTTTTAAACATTTTATACCTTGCAATCGGAAAGTGGAATGAATATATTTTTAATTAAAAAGACTCTTTTATCAAAATCAAATAATGCTTTTGAAATGAAGTGCCATCGATAGCCACTGTTTATACAATAACTTAATCAAAAAAAAAAAAAAATTTGTTCATAAATTATTATGAAATTTCGAGAGGATATGAATAAATTCATTTAGTGAAAGGTCTTAAAAGACTACTGAACTGATTTGTAAGCGCATTGAAATATTGGCAAAAAGTCCGGGCAATCATTATCGAGTGCATAGTGAGATCTAACCTAGAGACGGTCTCTCCTTCAGAGATGATGCATTATATTCTTTCATCAATGTCAATAGAACGAGTCTAATGGTAAATCTTAGATAGTCTCTGACACCTTAGATTTTGTATGCGAAGAGATTCATAAAAAATTTCAACTTTTTTAACAAATCCATCAATAATTCTGTAATAATGTAAATCTAATCTACTGAGCTTTTTACCCATTTTATCCATAGAGTTATAATTTTTTATGTTGCATTATGTTGCATAACCTACGACGTCTTACTCATATGACAAGAACGTATAATTTTCAATGCTTAATAAAAAAAAAAAAGTAACTGAACAAAAAATGATTTTTTGGATCCTACCCCAATACTGATTTTCCGAAAATTGATTATTTGTAAAGCAAAAAAGTCTTAATTTTATTATATGATGACGAAAATTGTCTCGTAATATTAATTGCATAGAAAAATGGACCATTTCCGACTATATTTCAGACTTTGCCCTATGTAAGGATTAAACTTTTATTACAGTAGGTTGCGTTTTGGGCTCACTCACCCATATATACGCACATGAAAGATATGCTTTTATATAGCAACAAGATATAATTTTTGTGTTTTAAAAAAAAAAAATAAGAATCGTCTTAGACAAAATAACGTAGAGTATTTAATGGTCGGTCTTGCCTCATTATAAAACTCTTCGTTGTTTTTTTTTGGGGGGTTTTTGCGTTCACTTCTTCTCCTTGACCGAAGAAATCCAAGCAAAAAATCTAAATCACAAGTTTTTTCCCATTGGAGAATTTCAACAGAGAACAGAGGGCGACATGAAGCTATGTCAACTAAATATCTCATATTACGCTTTAATTTTAGTTTAAAAAAAATCATTCTTTTTTCAAATCAAATATGTTTCGAAATCATTTACACTTAATTGTCATACCGTCCAAAATAATTGCTTTAAAATCCATATTAAGCATTTTCAAGTCATTAAAAATACAAAAGACGGAGAAATCATTTATAAGTTTTGCACAGAAAAAAAAAAAACAAAAAAAAGAATTCCCAACAGTTAAGCTTATCAGATTTACGAAATTATCTCTTGTTAAACATCGTATTGACAACTTTTCTAATTCTTTTAAACAAAGATGTTGACTATCAAATTTCATTCATCTTAAAAGTTTGATATCATTTGCTTTTATATAAAACTAATGAACGTACCTTGCAACTAAGAGATGATAACTTTTAAATTACAAGGAATTTTTTTTTATTTTTATTTTTTTTGAATTTTCTCTTTGATTTCTATTATATGTGTGTATGTATGTATGTATGTATTTATACATGTATGTATATAATATATTTCATATTCATTTTTTATATATATATTTTTATATTTTAATTTTTTGTATACTTGTGCAATATAATATGTTCTTCTTTCCATCTAAATTGACTGAATGCATTTCGTGCCTGAAATATTTTAAGATAATATTCAATAATTTTATGATGTTCTTAAGTAAAATTTGCAAAACTCAATAGTAAATAAAAATTAACGAAATAAATTTTATATGCTAATGTCATCACGTCATCATTCATTTTGTTTGGTATTCAAACTCGTAAGTTTCAATTTTGATATTTGCACCAAAAACTTCGCAACCCCTTCAATACCTATGAGCATTGCACTGCCTTGTAGGCAGTCCCTGCTAGGGACTGTCATTCCTATAGATCAATCAGAAGTAAAATATTACATTGATCGAGAGATCACTTTATATAATATCTCTCCATTCCTATCCCTATATTCGACAAAGCGAAGCATCAATCGAGTGTGACTCGATTCCGAAGAGCAGACAACCTTTCATAAAGCTACCCATTAGTGAACAAATATAATACGTATTACTAAAGACAGGTCTTATACGCATTCAATGAGTAGTAGCAAATCCCAAATTTTTAATTAAAGCCTATATTATAAATTTTACAAAGTTGTTGTAATGTACATGAAAGGCACTAGATGGCTTATGAGCAAAAAAAAAAATCAATGCAGTGCAAATATCATTTTACGTAGGAATTGAAAATTTATTTATTCATTTCTTTGTTTGTGTCTCGACATCGATATGCAAATATCGCAAATAATTTATTGCAATATAATATTAAATTATTAATAATAAGAGATCAAAAACAAACACACTTACATACTATTTAATTATTTAGAAAATAAATGCAATACTGATAAGTTGAAAATGTCAAAAAGTTTGCCTTTAAATGTTGTCTGCATTTTCGCGACACCAATAATTCACAGACGGACAGCTCGACTATGAGAAAGTTTCTCGTTATATCAGCATCATTATCATCCTACACTTGCAAATACTATAATTAAGAAAGAAAGGGAGTTAGGCTATGTGGGGAAGTCATATATAGTAAAGCATGAGCAATGACAGTAACAGTAACAGTAACCGTAACAGTGATGTCATTCTGGCACTATGAACGAAAGGACGTTTATATATATATGTGTGCGGGTGTGTGTGTGTGTGTGTGTGTGTGTTTGTGTGTATATGTATAAAACTTTAAATAAAATTTTCATTCAACTAATTAAATTTTCTTTTTATGCATGGCACAGACTGTAACGACTGCTGCTATATGAGATGTGACAGATTTCTCCTCCGGCTCCTGTTTTTTTCATCCTTTTTTTCTTTTTTTTTGATTTTTTTCTTTTCTGTTCTTTTTTTTTTTTTTTTTTTTGCTTTCCCTAGTAATGTCAGCCATTATCAAAAGATAAAGCGACAAAGATGACTTCTGGCTGATGTTAGCACTCATTTTGGATAATAAATAATAGAGGAATAGTTGGTTAACTCTCGCTCGCTTCTATTTTTTTTGTTTTTTTTTCTTGCATTTTTGTTTTGATTATTTGCGAAACCGAAAACTTTTGCCAACAAAACGTTACTTATCAGTTTTTAAAATTGAATTTGCCCTTATTTGTGTCAGCTTCAGGAAATAAATTTTTATTTTTTTTTATTTTTTCTTGATTTTTCTCACTATCCTTGTTTTTCGATTGTGACTCCTCTATTGCTTGCATTCGCATGGTTTTTTTTTTTCGGTATTGAAGCGTGTTTAGTTCAAACATATATTAAAGTTAATAGAGGAAATGTTAGGGAATCGTTTTGATGAAACAGTTTAAATTAATTCCGTGTTTGCAACTAATTCAAGCAATAATTACATCATTTTTTTTTTTTTTTTTTTAGCAAGAATCATTGCCTTCTTTATAAGCAAAGAGGCCATAGAGGCGGTTATTAGAAGTATGCCGTCGCGTGTAAAAGTTTAAACAAGAAATATTTTAAAAACCTATTGAAACAATTAAATGCATAGTAAAGGCTCTATATTTACTATTATAAATAATTACGGTAAGGTTTACGTGCCTACGTCTGAACATTGTAATCACCATCGTCAGTCAAGGTGACGTAGTAAATAAAGTAAAATATTAAAAAAAAGGTGGAAAAAAAACTTCCTTTATATTGATAATTAAAAATTTTACTACCTAAGCCAACAATATTTGTTAATTTATTTTATTTTGTTAACATTTCGTCTTATAATTTCCTCTATATGCTGCTGCTTACTTTTTGTTGGCGTGTCTGGGTTGTTGTTGTTGTTGTTGTTGTTGTTATGAACTTGTAACAATATTATGTCAAATTTGACATTGACATGAACAAACATAATCTGCGAACAAATCTTACATCATCATCATCATCATCCAAACATATAGATCCACCGCAAGTGACATTATCACTGGGCTCAACACTAAAACCGGATGATATTAAAGAGGGCGATGACGTTTATTTCGAATGTCATATTAAAGCAAATCCTAAGGAACATCGCATCACATGGTCCCATAATGTAAGTACACAAGTATTTAAAACACTTAAAATAACTATGAGGTTAGAAACCGAAAATCGCGAAAGTTTAAAAAAAAAAAAAAAAATCTTTTTGATCCGATTTGAATGACAATAAAGTTATTGAAGTATTGCTTTATTATTATGTGTGCCCTTTGTCCGGGTCGAAACGTTCTTGCAGCCTCGCTTGCACTAATTAATACTAGTTATGCCCTTCACCACTTGTGGTTCGCTTCGAGCGGATATATGTAAGCAGGTAGTAGGGCTTAAGATAGACCCACACCTTTTATTATACCCATCGATTCAGGATCATATTCTTAATTGAGTTAAGCCTGTCTGTCCGTCTGTCCGTCGCATAATATATTGCGTTACACATAACCTTCGCGGCGTTCACCTAAATTTTATAACATTTTTTCGCATAATATATGTAACCATCACGATGTTCACATATATGTCATTTAGGAAAAATTGCTGGTACGCATACTTTCTCAATTTTCCCCAGCTATAGGCTCATGCATGTTTTCTATTTATTTATTGCATTTTTTTTTTTATTTTTTTAGGGTGTACCCGTTACTCAAAATGTATCCTGGGGTATCATTATTTCAACGCGTTCGCTGGTATTACAACGTGTGGCTCGTGTACATGCGGGCTTGTATGCGTGTTCCGCTGCCAACGATCGTGGGGAAACCACAAGTGCTATGGTGAACCTTAGAATACGATGTAAGTAAAGATATGTTTTGCTCCCAAACTACTTTTCATATTTATATATACGCAACGATGACCTGTTAAAATATTTACGATATATGGTTACCGGTGAATAGTGATTAAATTAAATGAAAATAAATTAATGGTAAATAACTGTTCAACTTTTTTTTATAATATTGATGAGAATATTGTGAGAGAGAAAATTTACGTGCGCAACATGTGCCCATATTTTAATAAAAGATAACGATTGAAATGCCGATAAAAGTATTTTCCAGCAATTGCAAGTGAAAACGTTTTCCTGTCCTGTTCGTTGCTTTATTATTATTATTATGTAGATAAACGCAGAGAATGCAACATGAAAATCCAATGAAAAAGAAAGAAAAATAAAAAAAAAAACAAAAGAAATAATGGAAAAGAAATTCCATAAGAGTTTTACTTTGCAAATTTTAAAAGTGTGTATACAGTCATGGACACATAAATCTCATCACCTATTTGAGCTAAAATTAAAAGCAAGGAAATTAAGAAACTATCGCATGTTACTTCTTTTTCAAATGTCGGCGACTCCAAATACATTTTTTTTTACACCTGACATTACTTGCGGTACAGTGAGTAGAGTGAGTTTGCGCGGACGTATGTGAAGCCCAGGAGGACTTGAGTTCGATTCACCTTTAATTGTACCAGCAGTCAATTTAGAATCACTTTTTGAAACGATCTAAGCTTGTCTGTCCTTCTGATATTCTTATGATCAACTTGTATTTTTTAAGATATTATGATGGAATTTGGACCATTGAAATTTGGGATTTGCCCAAGCACTTTTTTCCCCACGAAAGTGTTGCAGGCTATTTAATGATGGGCCATGTTTCATTTTATGTGTAAAAATTTGTCACTGTACGAATTTTTTTTTGCTGGATTCTTATTTCAATTTAAAGTACATTTCTAGCATTTTTCATAAATTTTTTAATGAATCTTTACAGTTATACTCATAGTCAAGTCTATGCTATTTACATGTCCATGGCTGTACATATCTCAAAGTACATTATTAAGAGTAAATTTTTTCGGAAATTTTTTAAAATAATTGGAAAAGAAAAAGAACACTTGCAAACTCCTACTAAGATGCACACAAATCATTCCTTATGCCAATTTATCGTAAGATGAAACATATATACAACTTGCTAGGACACTTTCTATTAAAATATCGTAATTTTTCACAAATATTCAGACAAGCAGGCAGGTTATATCTATTGTATGAAGTTTATATCCGATATATCGAGATAGTTTATATCATCATTATATCAATGGGTCAAATATATATAAAACATATTTTATAAACGTAAAAGTTCAGACATCCGTATGTTTAAATGGAAGCATTATAGATGTAAAATGAAATATTTTTTAAAAACAAAAGCAAAGAATCCTATTTTTAAATTAATATTAACAATAAAACTTTATTCATAGACAATTTTTTTCTTTTATATACTCATGAGTAATTCTATTAGGTATATGATAAAGAAAAACTAAAGGTAAAACAGATGAAAATGATAAGCAAAAGCTGTAGAATGTAGAGGAATGTGAGAGATAAAAGAAAAATAATATAAATATAATAAAATAAAATCTGGCATTTTATAGGGCGAACGCAAGCACATCAATTACCTTTTAAAGTACAATGAAAAATTTCATAAAAATGTTTAAACAGAAAATACGTACTAGAAAGTAAAAGAAAGGAAGAAGAAAAAGGTGCTGCTTAGCAATATCTATGTGAGCTGTGTATGTAAAAATTTCCATCTTTCCAGTTTAAACATTGATGTGTTCACTTTTAAACTAGTATCCTATTATGTTATGTTAGATTCAGTCACAAGTAACTTCCGTTGTTTTATCAAATTTTCACATTGTTTTCATTGAATAACAAAATTACATTAATTTAACAATGTATTGTGAGATATTTAAAGTTTTCGCGTTTTGCTCTATTATTGCTTTTAAAAGTTTGTCGTCAAAGTGGGAAAGGGACGTCCCCGCTCGATTCGTATGTTAGGATTGTGTCTCAAGAACGGAATTTTACAAACCAATTTTCAACTGTCCAATCAGTTATCAGTCCTTCACGGTATACGCAGCATTTTTTTCAACTGTCACCTAAGCGCTATTACCTCATTTAAATTCTTAAAGCTTTATTGCCGAACACGTCGAATATTCACTTTTTGACTCTCCATTTCGGCGGTTAAGTAAAACTGTTGAAGGAAGACTAACTGAATTCTCATCTATGTAGGGAAAATAAAAACTCGTTTGTTTCGGTAAGTTATAGTGGGTGACAGCAATGGATGCTACCTGATTGTATCAGAAGTTACTTATCACTCGATCTAATATTTATTTGGTGTAGTATCGGAATATATTAATATGTTGGCCCCTTTTGTAATAGAGGGAAACATAAATGAGAATCCGCCTGAATAGCTTAAGGAAAAGAATCTCGACTAACAATTCAATCGTGGTCGTGGGTTCGAATCTCAAGTGTAGTGTAAAGTTTTTAACAAAGCCGATATCTTTCGATGCTAGTCTAAGAATTTATTTCTTTGGCTAATTTACTAATGATAATCCGAACGTTTCGATCAGTTTTAGGTAAAGCAATGGGGAAGCAATGACTATTTATTCTTTTGAAAAATGATAGTCAATACGATTCTTCCTAATCTAATTTTATTCACCACATTTAACCACTTAACTGCGTTATGACAAATACATAAGTGACGAGAAAAGTACAAGACGAATATATACGTCGTGATCTGTCCAATCCGTTTTTGAGAGATTTTCTCATAAAATTTTTATCCTTACAAATGCGTATTTATTATAGAATGTGCGTCAAGTTATTTGATTACAATCCAAGTTCATAGCAGATACACTATGTATATGACGAGTATATTCGTCATCACTAAATTTTTGTCGACGCAATTTAAATGCACCTTATATTGAATACGCAGATCTCTTAAATTTAAACAATCAAGCCTAACCTACTCTTAATAAAAAAATTAAATAAAATATTGAGAAAAGTGTTGGATACTTATTGGTACGGCGAAAATTGTAAAATCATATAAATATTTATTATATCGTTAGCATTGCTATTATTATTATTATTATTTCCATTATCATAACAATGCATAATTCATTAGCGGAAAAAATGCATTATAAAATTTATTTTATGCCGTTTTTTTTTTTTTTTTTTTCAAAAATGTTTCGTAATTTGAAAAATGAATAAATGATATCTAATAATAGATGAGTTTGTAAATGTTTTGTTGGGAAAAAAATTAGAGAAGCAAAGTAGAAAAAAAAACAAAAGAAAAAAACAAAAACAGAACAATTTTGATTTTTGCAAACTCATCATTATTACTATATCTGCTTGTTTATTACAATTTTATTCTTTGTATTATATTTTCATTTGAAATTTTATTTGCCCGCGTCGGGAAATTGCAAAATAATACGTGGAACATAGACAATAATGATAGAAAGATATTTGCGATAAAAAGCACGTTTGAGCGGATGGACGGACGATCAGATGGAAGTTGCTATACAGATCCATTATGTTGCCTTTGTTAGACGATGCATGTGTGAGATAGTTAAGTGTTATGCTTTTAATGATCGAGCATTCACTGTAGGTGCTGTGGACTTCTGCACTGTATATAGAACTCTTGTTTGCCGACTTGATATTCTCGCTTTTTATCTACTAAGCTATGCCGCAGCCCTGTTATCTAAACAATAAGATTTCAGTGGATGGTTTTCCTGAAGCATCTGGAAGCCGCAATTTATTGAGAAAAAGAAAACAAACTAGGATTGCCAGGCAAGGGTTATGTATACCGACTACTACGCATTCAGTGCCTCATACATGTAAATGATAAGCATATCACGGCTTTATTACCAGACAAGGGTTACGTATATCGGCTATTACGAATTGAGTGCGACATGCAGTAAGTGATAAGAATATCACTGAATCTAACTAAATCTTTTGATTGGGTGTCGCATGTACTTTTGACTTATAAGTTCGGGCGGGACTTTGACTTTTGGAAGTCCACTGTTGCTCAGATGAAATCCTACCTCTGTGGATGTTGTCAAGTCTGAACCGTGGTAGATGCGAAGTGGAGTGCCTCAGGGCTCGATTCATTGTTCCTATATGATTTCTTTAACACGTTTAAGCTAACTTCGTGTAAGGCCTACACATTTGCTTATGATTTGCAGATTTTATTTACGGTTAGTTTTGACCATTTGGAAGGATATCAAGCTAATATTGACTAGCATTTTAACTGTATTTGCCTTTATGTGGTCGTGAATGAACTTGAGGTACATTGGGCGAAATCATTTGCGATAACGTTTCGACCCCCGAATCTGTATCTGAATTGTAAATAGCTTGAAATGCCTGGGGGTGCATGTCGATAATAGGTTATGCTTTGATTGCACACATTAATGACTTTGTACTCTCTTGTCTATTTCCTACTTGGAAAGTTTTATTCTTTGACACCCCCCCCTTTATACACCCATTTAATTCATAAATATGGTGGGCAAAACTTCAATTATGCCTCTAGCAGTTCATAGTTCCATGAACTTCGAACCTGAGGCTATTATATAATCGTATAGTTAGATATTTATTCTCCTTGAGGCGATATCATCATATCTAGGTCTCCACGTTCTTCTTTCGTTAATTTTATTAAAGTTAGACTTCTCCTTAACCTCTAAAACATCATCCTGTGGCAGGAGTCGAGAGGAGCTTCTTTAATCGCTTTGCTTTTAGTAAGTCAGTTGGTAATAATCCTCTGTTGATTCCTCCAGATACGTGCTCTTTGGCCAAATCTTTTCAGGTAAGTGTCATAAGAGCTTATAATTTCCTTGCTAGGAGAGACTTGGAGCAATTTAAAGGCTCTTATCGCACTTACAAACATAGGCTTTTAACCTTCGCCATTAATAATGAGATTAGCTGCTTACATAGTATGCTACTTAGCTAGATGGAGGTGTGATTGCCTTATTTCCTTTCTTACTACTCTTGTTACCTTCTTGGTTCCTGATTCTTTTTTATTTACTCTTTATTCTTTCTTTCTCTTTTATTGTTTATTTATTTATTTTTTATTCTCTTTGCTTTCAATTTTCCTCTCTTCTCCTTTAGATTGCTTAAGAGCATTTTATATTATTTGAATTTATTATTGCATCTATGACAGACATTTTAATCTATTATAATAGGCCTTAATGGCTTTGAGGTTACATAAGCGCCAATAAATACATAAATATAAATATATTTTCAGATGCGCCCGTTTGCAGTACAAGTACAGTTATTGTTATTGGCGCGTCATTGGAAGAAGCGGTACCCATACCGTGCCGTGTTAACTCGGATCCACCCGAAATTGAATTTGAATGGACTTTTTCTAGTAGTGGCGAACACTTTGAAGTACCATCTGGGCATTTCGCTACAATGCAAGAACCGGCAACAACGGGTGATATACATCGTACGTACATTGAATCGAATGAAACGCATTTTGAAGCCTATGGTAAATTACTACGATGCGCGTGTACTGTACTGTACGATAAAAATCTGCTTCTTCTTCTTCTACTTCTATCGTTTCAGTGGAAACTGTTAGTGAATTAATATATATGCCAAAAGGTGAACGCGATTACGGTACATTAGCTTGCTGGGGTAGCAATTCTATTGGTAAACAATCAGAACCATGTTTATTTCAAGTTGTACCGGCAGGTAAGTTAAGAAATTGATTTTTATACAAACAAAAAATTTTAATTCTTGCTTGAATGAATAGTACAAAGAAATTCAAGTCAGCTCTCTAAGCTGCCACAAAAATTTGTATTATTACAAATCAATAAAAATTTTACTACTGTCGCTCCGCTCTCTCTCTCTCTCTCTCTCTCTCTCTCACTCTCTCACTATGTCTCCAATTTTATTTTGGACATTTATTAGAATGTTGCTTTATTATTATGGCTATTTTTCATGAATTTTTTTTTTTCTTTTGCTTTGCATTGTTTTGATTGGATTGCTTTAGCTAAACCCGGAGCTTTGCGTAACTGTACTTTGCGGCCCTATGTTGTGACTTCGGCTTCATTGAATTCATCGAATCAAACAACAATGCACGCCAATCAAATGATGATGGCTATGCCAACACAGTATGGGAGGCACGAATCAAATTTCCCGCATATGGAATATGTACGTGAGAGACATAATGAACAACAGCATCCGTATAACGTTAGTAGAAATAAAAACAGCAATAGTAGTGGCATTCGTGGTACTAATAGCAACAACAATAGCAATCAAATCAGTAGCAATAGAAAAGTTTACACTGATGACGTTAAGAGGACAAGCAACAAAATAAACTACAGCAACAGCAATAATGATGACAGCGCCAATAACAATAATAAGAGATCCACTAGTAGTAGTACAACCACTGCTATCAAAAACACCAACGGCACTAACAATAAAAGCATTAATCATGAGGCACAACAAGTTGGAAAAAACCAGTCAATAACCATGTATAACAGGCACCAACAAATGATACAGCAAAAATATCGTCAGCAAGCATCAACGGTAAACGTAAATAACGAACAAGAACAGCGTCTAAAAAAGCGTACATCATTTACCCCATCACAGTCGCTGGTGGCCTTTAAAGACGAACAAATTTCAAAGCAATCGAAAGGAAGAACAAAACAATCGCTAGAACAAACCACAAGTGTTAATAAGAATCGTCCGCATACCGTTGAGTCCACAAGCGAACGACCAATTGCCATTCCAGCATCGCAGTCGTTTATCAATAATCATCAAAATGATGGATTATCTTTGCCAGCGCAGTTAAAGGCGAATAAAAACAACAACATCAGCAATGATATAAAAAAGAAAAATCGCCGAAAACGTTCTTCAAGATATGAAATGCAATACCACAATGCTAAAGATTGTAAAAACGACGGTAGCATTGTTGATGATATCGCAAAAATTTCTACTGGGAAAGATCAACGTATTCAACAAGGCCAAAAAGCACAACAACAATATTGGAATGATAAAGATAAGAAAAGTAAAATTGGCAAAAACAGAAAAGTGAATTCAACTTTGTCACTGTCTACTGCAAAAGTTTCGGAAAATGTTATGGCAGCGGTAAGAACAATAAAAACAACGAAAATCTTACTAAACACCGGCCGTAAGAGTCATCATAACAAGTCTCTCAAAATCCAACAGAAACAAAAACTGAATAATAAAGAAATTCATCATCATCATCATAATCATCATCATGATTATTCCCATCCTCATCCTCATCCACATAACAGTAGCGAGCACCAGTCGGCTGCCAAAGAAAAACTATCTAAAGCGTCATTATCAATTGTACAGAGCAGACATATCAACAAACGAGAAATTGCAATTGGCCGAGAGAAGGTACAACAAGATAAATCTAGTGCCGTCAGCAGCAATGGCATGAGTTTTTCATCTTCTTCTTCTTCTTCTTCTTCTTCTTCCATTTCCATTTCCTCTTCTTCTTCTGCTTCTGCTTCTACTTCAACTTCGGCATTTACATTAAAGCAATACAGCGGCACAATTCAAGTAAAGGATGACAAACCATCAACTGCAGGCAATGGAAATGAACTTAATATCAAGCCTGATTCATTAAAATTGAATGATAAAAAACGTATACGCAAATCATTGACAGCTCGTAATAACAAAGAACGACATTTCGGTAAGATGCCCAACCTATCTGAAATTCAACTTAGCTCCGCATATATGAATGGCAGCAACGGTACTGAGAAAGTAAGGAATAGTATTGAAAACGATAATAATTGGAGTAAAGAAGAAGCAGAACAACAATCAAACTTGCCACCGAGTGCACCTAAAATAATCAGTCGAGCAACGGGAAATATCCAGCTGCCCACAAAACCATCGAATTCCGTTGAAATTATTAATAGTAGAGAGACATCATTGGCAGCCGTGGTGGCAGTTAACGCCGGTGACAGCGCCTATCAAGGGGATGATGAGCAAACAGAAAACATTGATGTTTTCGATAACAACAGTTCTATAGGTATTGAGACAGGTTCCGGTGCAAGCAGTAGTAGTAGTAGTAGTAGTAGTAGTAGTCATAGTCATAGTCATAGTCGTACTAGCAGTAGTAGTAGTAGTAGTAGCAGTACTACTAGTAACAATAACGATGTTGAAAACAAAAGCAACAAAATTGTTGAAAGTAACCATAACAGTAATTTTAATGAAATAGAAGAAGACGATGATGCACAACTTGATATCAATGAAATCGATGGTGAGACTGACAACGATATTGAAGAAGATGAACTGACAGATGATGAGGATGCACAAAATATTTTAGATGGTATGCTAGACGATTATAACACACTAGCTGATTCAAAAATTTTGGAAGATAATGATAGCGATGACGATGTAACGGTCAATACTAAGCATGGCCCGCAGTCAACTGTAAACAATTACTCTATGAAACAGCAACAACAGCTAAGCCATAACAGCAAAGAGGAAACACAACTGCAAGCTATTGATAATTCTAATGACGACAACAGCAACAACAATAATAATCGAATTTCCGAAGATACTATGGAAGATAGTATGGATGATGTTGAAAATCTTGTTGGCCTTGACGGAGACGAGAATCTAGAACATGATATCGATGATAATGACAATGATAACGATGATGATGACGATGACGATGCTCTTGTTGTTGATAGTGGTGACGATGATGAAAACGACAACGACAACGACAACACTGACGACAACGATGCCATCAATAAGGCAAGCATTGATAATGAGCCGCATTTTGATTATTCACGCATGGAATACAATTTTCATAACGGCATTGCTACCCATAGTCTTATCGGCACTTACGGTAATTCAGATATAAGCAGTAGCAATAGCCTTGGTTCAAGCAGTAACGGTGGCGGTGTTGGTGGTAATGGTGGTGGTGGTGGTGGTGGTGGTGGTGGTGGTGGTGTTGGTGGTGGTAGTAGTATTAATTTCGATAATTATGATAACATTATCTATTCAACAATGGAATTAGAATGTATGCCAGGTTATGATGGCGGTCTCCAGCAACATTTCTATTTGGAAGCTTATGATTCAAAAACGAAAAAGTTACGTTTAAACACATCGAGCACATATGCAGATGTGCCAATATTTCGCATTGATTTAAGCGGTAAGTAATAAATGAAATTTGTGTGTAAGAAGACATTGATCAATGCACATAAGGAATACGCTTTGTCTCTAATGAAGAGGTTTTTCGTGTACAGACATCGTTTCTTTCTTTTTCATCTCTCCCTCCCTCCCTCTCTCTCTCTCTCTTTTATCTATTAGTTTAGTAAAGCAACATACATATAAGTAATTGTTAAAGAATTTGTTGATGGAAATTACAGACTTCAACTCATCATCCCATCTCAGTAATCGTAGCTTTATGCTTCGTTAAATTTTCACAAACAAATTATTTAAAACAAGCAAACACATACTTAGATATTCGCACATGCACACATGGATTGTATTATCAAATATTTGCAGATGCATACGCAAACAGGCCTGCTTTTGGGTATAATAAATAATCGAAAAAGTATTGAGCTTTTGCAAATTTTCACATTAATTGACCATCAGCTCTATATATGTATTTGAGTCAGAGAAATCCAGTTGAACGCCGTCTAATTCGAATGTATGATGTGCTGGACTGGCTCCTTGCGCGTACCTCGGTAGAGATGCGAATATTTTTCACTACTTTTTACGCTTTCATTTCAAGAAATGTTAAAATGCTGCACCGGTGCGTGTAAAAGTTAGTCAGTTAATAGTCACATCCAGAAAGACAATCGATTGTATTTGCTCTAGAAATTTCGATGGAGAAAATGTTTTCCACGCATTGAACTGCAATGTACAAGTGAACGAAGTGAATGGTAGTCTGGCAAACAGTCGAAATAACGACACGAGTACACTCGCAAAGTATATAAAGACCTGGAATCTAACAGTATCCGAGCTGTGCTAGGGATAGGTAATTACATAAAAGTAAGAAACTCGATAATTGCTTTTTGTACGATTGGTTAAAAAAAAAAAGAGAAAAAAAGTTACTTGATCCACTTCCTCTTTGATATCCATATAGAGCGTAATGAACTTTTAAACATTTCAGGCGGGGAGCCTGTCACCACTTTTTATACCGGCATTATAATATTGTGAGCGGTCGCTAATGTGCTTTTGGGCTTAGATTTCCTTATTTGATAGCAAATTACGTATTCCGAGGTAATATAACCACACTTAAAATTATCTCCCATAACAATTTTGTTATAAAGCGATCTTGTTAGGATATGAAAATTACTTGGAAAAATAATGCTTGTGGCTTGAGAGGTGTCTCGGTGCTCTTGAAGAAGGTTTTGGGTAACACCAGAAAAGTAACGCTCCAGTTGCCGCTAGTTAGCAGTGGCAAGAATTGTCGCCAATCAGTTGTGTTAACGATGTCGTCAACTCAGCTAACTTCATTAGATCCTTATCCTTAACTTATGCAGGACACTTTAAAAATATTTTGGAAGGTCTTCGTTTACAAGTCTTAGTACATTCGTTACATGACAAAACCTAGCATTTACTTGCTATTCACTAAAAAATTCTGAAAGCATCGAATTCATGAAAGATGTTAACGTTAATCAAAGACGTATTATAGTCATGTGTGTAAAAAAAAAGAAAAGGTTTCAAAAGCTTTCCTAATCACAACACTTTCATTGTCAATTTCTAATCACGAAAGGCTTAATACTTTTTAGATTATCTTTTTTAGACATATTCATTTAAATATATTAACGCAAAAGCTTCATCAATAGATTAACGCAAACAAAAACCAACCAAGAACGCAAAGAATGAAAACAAACTAACAAACACACTAAAATGAATTTCTCGAATCCCTCTGCCGTTACATGTGAATATCATCTACTTTTGTGTAATGTTGCTATCAACTGCGTTGCATATATACCAACGTACGTACACTTGGTATGCCAAAGAAATAAGGCGAAAGAAAAAAAAAAAAAAAAAAAAAAAAAAAAGACTTCAATAATCAAAATTTGGCTCATTAAACACGCGAAAATAATCTGTAAAAGGTAACGATGGAGTTGAGCCAACAAAAATTTTTGGCAACCGTTACACAAAAGCCAGCTTATATTGGGAGGTGTGTAGGTGTAGGTGGTGATGTGATGTGAATTTTTTTTTTTGTTATGCCAAACAGCAGTCGCACAACCAAATAGACACAGACACGTGCGCACATATAAATATATATATCGTTATATTTACAAAGTGAAAGAATTTAATGAAAAGTATAAACTAGAAAAACAAGAAAAAAAAAAAAACAAAAAGGAGAAAAGTTAATTTCGTTTTTCTTATTTATAAGCAGCGAAAAGTTTGATTTTAGTACATTTGTCCGACATATACTACACACGCGTGCTTGTAGTGAAAACAAGCAAAAGTATACTTGAACAAAAAGTCATGAATTTCTTACTGTTTAATTTTTGCTAATAGTCATTAGCTATTGGTAAAAAAGTTTTTCAAAGAGAAAAACAAAAATCGAAAAGTTTGATGATTACATTTACAGGTAAATTTGTTTTGAAAAGAAGCGAGAAAGAGGTAGCGCGAAATGAGCGAACAAGAGACTTTATATTACTGTTACATAGACCTCATTATCAATGCCTAAAAAGAGTTTGTTGACAATGTGCACATCAACCTCCATCACCCCCCCTCCCACTAATCCCCTCTCTTCTTTTACTTATTATCTACTATCTATTCGCTACCACTTAAAACCATCTAATTAATCTTCATACCTTAGCGTATAAATGTACATATATATATATATATATATATATATATATATATATATATATATATACACAAACATATATACCCGTATCGAAGAACACCACATTGCACATTGAATAGGGAAAAGGATAGAACACAGAAAATACACTCATTAAAGGTAATTATCTGTAAATCAGAAAATGCGCTCATGTGTGATTATTCGTTGAGTGTGTGTGAATGCGAGGTTTTCATCAGCAAAAGCCTCTCAAGTGGAAATTCACCGAAAAGTTACTTTGCAAAAATTTATTTTAAACCTATGAAAAACTGCCTATCCGTGTACCTTCTTTCATCTACTTACATAAAATTCCATACGATTTATCTAACATGTACACGCATTTACAACATGTAACGATATGATAATGATATTGACTCGAGAAATTCTCCAAAATTAAAGCATATTTTTTCTATGTATTCTTTATGTCTTTGATAGATTTAACACCTATGGATTACTATCCGGATCCAAATCCCGCACTTCATCTTATCGTGTACAGCGTAAATCAAAAGGGACGCTCAGAGCCAATCATTTTAGAGAATATACCAATTAATGAGGCAGAGAAACGTTCAGGTAATTTACTATAACAATGAAATCTTACGCAACCTATGCTGCATAAGAATATAAGTTTAGTCTAAAAACATGGCGGGAAAAAACAAGAAGAAGAAGACATATATCACTATTCTCATGAATTTGTCAACCACCCTGTTTGCGGTCAAGGACGAACTCATTTGTAGAATATGTGAAGACATATGAATATCAATCGGGATATTCGTTATTGTTATCTAAAAAGTATTGAGCGCATTTCTTACTCTACGAAACCAAAATAAATTTTGTTCCATACATGCCTTGATTATCACCGCTCATTATTATTTCAAACTCCACTCCACACTTCATCACTCGTTATAAAATCTTTCAAGGATTATTTTAGATCAGATGAGTCGAGTCGAACATATAAGATATATTCTGCCCAATCCTGCAAAAATGAACCATCGCAGTCTGTTTATGTAGTTCGTTTGTAGTCTGTGGACTCAAGACCATTGAGAGGAATCGATGTTTACTTCTATGCCAATCTTTCTCGTTTATCGCTTCGCCCACCAGAAAACATAAATCGCGGACGGATCAGTCGTTGCGAGCAGCATATTGAAAGTGAAAGTCCATATAAAGAAGATTGAGTTCCGCTTTGGTGAAATATGACGAGTCACTCAGACGGTGCACCCTGTTCGTGTAACACTGTGCCAGTCGTAAGAAAGTGACGGAAAAGAAAAAGATGGGAAGGAGGTGGCAGTAGCCCAGTGCGTACATGTTACGCCTCTATCGACGCACCTCTTACCATAGCTACGATCACAGTACACTTTGCCGCACTTAATAAGATTTTAATTCGCGAACACTGACTGGTTAGCCGCGATTCCTTCCTTTTACCCGTAAAAACGGTAAATTACGGATTATTTTCTCACTGCAAGCAACATTTTCAACCTTGTAATCGTTTGCGTTAGTTCTGAAAGCATATTTAATCTATAAAGTGTGTAAAGTTCTTCAAGGATCTTTATGTGTATATGAAAATTATATATATATGAGATAGAATGTGAGTTTTACTGCAATTTTCTGTTGTTCCACTATTTATGAAAAGTGACTTAACATCCGAGATGACTTGTCGCAAATTTATGCTAAGAGAGACTCTCGTAATCATATTTTGCTCAACACTTTTTAATTTTACTCGTAAGTGATATTAATTACGTGATTATTATGATAATTTATGGATACACGGACGGACAGAAACCGGAAAATTTTACCAACTTCTTTTATAGAATCATGCATAACATAATTGCATAGGTTTAAAGCGTAATCAGAGCATGCTCATGTTTAACAAATATTTGATTAGTTTTCTCACCAGAACTTGTATAATAAACTCGCGTCACCGAATTGTGTGCGTGTAAAGGAGTGGAAAGATTTTGAAAAATATTAATTTGTTTTTATGTAAATATTTAAAAAAAAAAAAAATGTTTACCATTCATTTTAATAGAGCTTGAAGTAAGCAATATATATATATATATAAATATATATATATATATACATCCTTCTAGTTGTACGCAAGTTGGCTAACTTGTTCTTATCGCTAAATATCATTAGCGGTAAAAATAAAATAAAAAAAAAAAAAAAATTGAAAAACATAATTTTTTTTTTTAAATTTTTTGCATAAGGTAACGAAATGCAAACAAAACTAATTGCAATTATATTGTTTACTTTATGGAATTTTGGCAGAAGGCACAAATGAAATTTTCCGGTGTTTACATTGACTGCCTTCTCAGCTCAACAAAAAGAAAAAAAAAAAAAAAAGATGATAAGAGGAAAATTTTACCTTTCGTATTATATAAATAAGAATTTGCTTTCTTTCACTCTCACTCTCTCTCTCTCTCTCTGTCTCCCGTTCTTTTTCTCTTTAACTGCATTTGTTTACTGATTTTGAGTGACTTTCACGAAAAGATGCAGAGCCAAGTCCCATTTTATTATTGCATATATTCGCTTTCTTGCCTTAAGTAGGTATGCAAAGTTCATTATCATTTCCATGACCATAACGATATAATTGTCGCTGTTTGAAAAATTACTTGTAATTGTCCTAAACGCATTGCGTTCGTCTATAAATCAACGTATTCCCTACATTGTCGATGTAAAAAGTATCTAAGTTGTTGTGGTTTTTATGAACAAAAACACAAAAATTACTTTTACTGTTCATTCTTAAATACGAGACTTAGGAGCCTATAATATGAAAATGCACGAATATTAACTCAAGCCCATAAAACTTATTTTACACCTTACACGTCTTATGATCTCATACCATACTAGGCTTGCGCACAGTTATCTAATGCTGAGAAGACATTATAATAGATTTGTCTTTTTGTTGTACCGATGAATCGATATATAGTTGTCTGTCGGTCTATCTATGTAAGAAATCGAAAGTTTTGGAAAAATTGTAATCAAATTTGGTACATATTTTCGATAAAGGACGAGTCCTATAACACGAGACCATTGCGAACCATTATTATGATTATTTTCCTCGCCCTCGACAAAAGTCTATATGTATAAGTATTTCTCTCCCGTTTTTCTCTACTATTTCTTCTCCCATATAAACGTTCCTTCCTTTACCTAAAAAGAAACAAAAACTGAATTTGGAAAAAGCGCTTGGAGATATAGATTGATATATATATCATTTGTACTATGTTTGGACCGTATAAGTCAACCTTTTCAGCTCTACTCCATTATAAGGGTTGTAATAAAAAGTATGACTTCACAAGGAAATAATATATAATTTGCGTTACATCATGGATCAATGTTTCTGGTTAATAACGTTGTGTTTGTTGCCGCTCATATTAAAAAACTACTGTACATCTACCTGCACCTTGGTTAATTAATGATAACTTTATCCAATTCGTAGATATCTTGACTTTTTGCTTATGATAGATCTAATCAAATCAAATTCTTACTAAGTAATATATTTCTCATATCTCAATTCAAAGATGTGTCTATCTCTAAGTTGCTCTCTTACGTATTTTCTTGTCATTCAAGAATTCTTGTTTTTTTCTCTTCCTTCTTGCATTAGAGTGAAAAAATACAAATAAATATTTTTGAAATTTCGCAGAAGAATAAAGGATTCATTATTAGAAATTCTTAAAATGTTTTTTATAATCTCATCTCAGGATGTATTAGTTATTTGCAAACTTTCTAATATCTATAATTATGTGCAGAATATCCTCAAAATTTATATATATATTCGTAACGCAGAGCAAAATCGATTCGCTCATCTTCTGCTGGACTTGCCAAAGCAATTGGATGAGATTTTTCGCGCTACTAGCAACCACTAGGCTTTAAGCTCGAATAAAAATTAATTAAGCAAATATTAAAAGCAAAAAAAAAAATAAAAATAAAAAATTACACGCAGCTTGAAACGAATTTATTTATATCTAATGTCTCTTACGGCAAAGACCATATTATAGTGTGCTTAACTTTGGCCATTTCAGTTGCCTTAAGTGCTCCTTTCTGGCTGGTGCTTGTATCCCGACTTAGGTCACGTCTTTAATTTCGATTTCGCCTTTCACGTAAATACGCGCCTTCTCGTTGATTGCTTAATACGTGATCATGAAGTTTCAACTTTCTATCTAATTTTTCCCGAACAAGAATGTTTTAACAAGGTACGTAAGAAGAGCAGTTGTACTATCGCCATTAAGTCGATGCGAAATACACTTGCGGACTCACTTTTTATAAATTCTTCTCTTCGATGACGATATGAAAAATTTACTCGATTACACATATAAAACGGGAATTTTCTTTTCGTAGAGAATACATATTTTATTCAAAGGATTCTTTGTCGTGCTGAGAACTATATTTGTCCATCTCTCTGATAATTTGATGATGCCATTCGTAAAAAAACTATTGCTTCTTTCAGGCGAGCCACTCATTGAACAATTTTCATATGTCTTCGTAAGAAGAGAAACACTGTTTAGCAAGTGCGCGTCTCATTAATAAAAGTTAGTGATAATCGAAGGGATTCGACGTCGATGGGCTAATCCCTGGAAGTGACACTTCCAAACCGAGTGGTACCAAATTTATATGGATTGATGCAGCAGCCAAGTCAATTGTTGCCCTTTTTTGACATTTCGCTCCTCTTTTGAAAAATTTGTAGCGTTCGGTATTAGCAGGTTCATCAGACTAAGAGTTAGCCCATCACCCACCCACAAAATATAGAATATTGTCTTCTTGTCAAAGCGACTTGGACTCACAGTCCATCTGGCTGTTTGGTCATTACATAAATTTTTAAGCCTGATTCACTTTTCAACCCCGTGATACGCGGCGATGCAAAACAAGACTTTGTTTTATGTCGTTTGCGAGTAAAAAAAAAGTTGACTTTAGCGAATGCTCTCTAACACGAAAATTCGACATTTTCGTAAGAAAAAAAAAAAGAAGATACTTTTGCATTGTCATATGTCGAAGCTGTAAAAGAACATGGCTTTGTACACTTACGTCCTCTAGACATGGCGGTACGTACCTAGTAGGCATCCAAAATGTCTTTACATAGCAAATATGGTTTATATCAGCAAGAAGGGAAGCAAATCTACTATCGAACTGAAATACATGCTTACAAACCTTCTTAGACATAAGCTTGCTGTCTTTGAGAAATCTCTAATAGCTTCGGTTTTTGGTTTTTGTCGTAAGAAAACCTGAAAATTTCTTGTGTAATGTACGAATGAATTTACATTATGTTCCGTAGAAAGGTAAGTTTTGCTTCTTTTTTTTGTTTTTCTCTTTTTGCGTAACAGCTTATATTCAATTTATGCTCTACTCTACGAAATAAACAAAAAACCTTAAAACCTAAGCCGTATGAAGAAATGTATTTTCATTTAATAAAATTTTATTCACACAGTATGTATAACTATATCCGTATTTATCATTGTACATTGCATGTACATATATATTCTTACCTGTGAAGTGTGAAATTTATCTCCTAGGAATCTCTGTCAGTCTATTTAAGACATAATACAAAGAATTCTTTGTTTGATAATATTCTCTCTCTGCAGCGT